GGAGAAAGGAAATCGATCTCGAAATATCTCGAAAATCTCGAATAAGCGTAAGCGTAAGACTGAAACCGAAGCGCCACTACGTGAGGAGATGAGAAGGCGCCTGCGTAGCACGCGCAGCCAATCTCGTTCTAAAAAGAACATACACTTTTAGAGTCTATAACTATCGATATCTCGCAAGTCTATCACGCTTATTCCTCATTGGTTCACAGTCGTCTTAGGCGGCAAATTTAATTCAGCATTCATTTAATTTTGAGATTTCTAATTATTATTGTTACAAGTACAGCGCGCTGTAGCGCGCGTTCGGTCTCGTTTTGCTAAAAAATAGAACAGGGCACGCGCGTATTGTTTTCCATGAGTGCCAGAATAGTAAAACCTTACTGGTTCTTGCTTTCATTAATTTTTATCTCCATAATAAAGCAGGAAAAATGAATGGTTCTAACAAAGTCTTTCATAACGAGAATTTAATTGTTGAATAATTTATTCGGAATCGTTTTCATCTTCTTCTTCGTTTCTCTTTTGATTTTTTCGTTCTTTTTTATTTTTATTTGTACGTGATCGGCCGCGCGTGCTACGCACGCGCGTTCTCATCTTCTCACGTAGTGGCGCTTCGGTTTCAGTCTTACGCTCACGCTTATTCGAGATTTTCGAGATCGATTTACTTTCTCCTTTTTATGATAGGATTCTGTACTGTATACATATATACTATCCTATATATATTTTTTACATTACAAAACTGCATGGAACAATGGACTGAAAATAACAGTTGAAACTGACATAAATTTGTTTATCCATAATATTCAGGAAGGAGCAATAAAAATTGCCACATGAGGTTCATTCTATCGAGTGAATGTTAGACAAATTTCCTAAAAAAACTAAAATCCATACAAATTTATTAGCATAATATTAATTATTTTTTCAATTAATATTGTTTTAATAAATTATTAATGATTTATTAATTATTCTTTCAATTAATATCATTCTAATAAATTATTATCCCTAAGAATTGTTGTTGAATTGTAAACAATTCACCCGGAAAAACGATGCAATCGCCCATTTGTTTATTTGAAAAAAAAACTGCAAAAATTGAGAGAATTTTTCATGTGTTTAGAAGAGTGTGAGTAAATCCCTACGGCAGATGTCAATAATGTCATCACAATGGACTGAAAATAACAATTGAAACTGACGTAATAGTACATTATGTCATGAGGGCGATAAGCGGCGGTTTGTGAGGAGTGTGGAGTTGCAGCAAGAGGCGTGGCAAGCAGGAGACGAGGATCGCCGAAGGCGATCCGAGTCGGACGCTTGCCATGCCGAGTGTTGCAAACTCCACACGACTCACAAACCAACGCTATCGCCCGAATGGCATATACTATTTTTCGTCACGAAGGCCCGACGCGGGTGTGGGCGCNCTGCAAAAATTGAGAGAATTTTTCATGTGTTTAGAAGAGTGTGAGTAAATCCCCACGACAGATGTCAATAATGTCATCACAATGGACCGAGAATAAAAATTGAAATCGATATAGAAAACACGCGAGTGCAAATAATAATAATAGCGGTGAGAACGAGTGTTGGAATAGTTGAACGAGTGACTGATTGACAATGCGGCACACCGGAGCGTAGATAACCTGATGATTATGGTGGTGTTATGGTGAATAAGGTTAAAAGCCCACAATGCAGTTAATGACACTGAACTCACTTTTGATGTTTGACCTCGTCTTCCTATTTTTTTTATTTCTCGTCGTTGTCTCGTGCCTGGTGTATTATCTACCAGCAGTGCCAGCGAGTCAAATTGCACCGCACGAAATTATAAACGCAAGAGTGCCCCCAAGGGCCGATGCACCTGTCGACGATGTCTGAGGTTGGTATCGAGGGAAAATGGGAGGTGAATGGTTTTTTTGTTCAGTTCATGTGTAAATATCATACATTTTTTCATGGAAATGTGCCACTCTTCTCCTGAAATACACTGTTAACAATTTTTGTCTGCACGGAGAGAAATATTCAGTAAAAATGACGTATCTTTTCTGTAATTTGGGAGCGAAATGTGGTTGTAGGAAATTTTACGGAACTGTCACGGAATTTTTCCGGAGCGTTCCGTAATTTTTATCTGAATCTCCTGTGAAAAATTACGATACGGTCACTTCAATTTTCTGAGTCGATTCCGTAATCGGTGAGCGAATTGTGACTTTCGTAATTTTTACTGAACATTTCTCTCCGTGTGAAATTTCCGATACACTTTGGAAGTTTTTTCAATCACAAAATTTCAATCACAAATTTTCGTTCTATTTCGATCATTTTTGTGTCCGAAATATTTTTTCAAAAACTTTCCTAATTTTTCCCACATATTTTAAGCCTTCTTTCATTTTTCTAGCTTGTCCTTTGGATAATTGGAAAATAATTAATATGGAAAGAAAAAGTCACAACGTCGTGCCGTTCGAGGTACAAGTTGGCAGCACTGATTCACTCAGCTGTTATGTTCCTTCCCATAGCGAAATGTAGCATCACAACTCCATTCGTATTTGCTGCGCTTACCCCTCCACAATTCCTAACCTCGACGATGTCGCTATTCCAAGTTGCGCACGCAGAATTCCTATTTATCATGAGTTTTTAATTATCTCTTCTAAACAATTTTCTTAAGCTACTATTATTTTTTTTATGTTCCTCCACGAAAGCTCCAGCCAAGTGCGAAATTTCAGAAAAATGGCGACTTTTTTTTTTATTTTTAATATTTTTTTTCGAATTCCTATTAGAGCCCGTGTTAAAATGTATTTTTTAGAAAAATTCCTCTGTTTCACCCATTCTCCTAAGGACTCTCAGATTTTGCTTAGAAGTTTCGAAAAAATCAAAAAATTTATTTGAAAAATCATCAATTTCTTGAATTTTTCTCGACCCCACCTGACCTCGCCATAAATCCCTTAATTTTTCAGTTTTTATCATTGGGTCTGATGTTTCAAACTAATACATCTTCAAAACACTAGTTTTCAATGATATTCGCAAATTCCTATTCGTATTTTTCCGCGTGAAAAAGCGTCACACTTTCCCCAACAATAACCAGAGCTAGAACGAGACATGTCATCCTCCACGTTGATGTTTACCACTTGGATGATACCACCGATATTGGCCTGGTCAGCCACGGGAATTATTGGAAGTCAGACATTATTACTCGACCCCAGCTGACCCCTCTCAATATCGCATTCACATCAACATACACATGTTAATCTACCTCAACCCACACATTTTCCCTGGAAAATCGCCCACTAAATTATTCAAAAATTGAGATGTAGCGGCGAGTTCCATGATCTCATGATGTGCAACTAAAATTTTAAAACTTGCACATGCAACCAACGAATTTCCCCTGACGCCGTTGGACCGAGAAATGGGAGCATTCATTTTATAGGAGCGGGAGAAAATGTTGAATCTTCGTAAATTGATTTTTTCTTCGTTCGCAGCTCTCATTTTTTTATTCGTGGAAACCGGACGAATCAGGGATGACAGGAAGGATGTTTGAGATTTAATGGCTGATAGAGGATGCTAAAAATAGGCTGATCGAAGTAGAAATGTGGAGATTGAAACGGCGGCGATAACTCCATTAAGGGCGCAGTCGGGGGCATCAGTGGGTGGGCGGTTTGGTTCAATCGAAGTGACTTGTCCCTGTGATTCAGCGTTAGGTGACTGGCTAGTTGCTCATCGCACGTTTGCCAGATGCAATTCAATTTTCAATGGGGATAAGTGATTTATCTCCCACTTAATTCTCATGATGGTGGCGATTCATTCGGACTATTGCATTGCCATTTATGGACATCACAATCAATAACTGGAAAAAAACTCGTTTCGAATGTGTCTGCATTTTTATATTTTTAACGTTTGTATGATGAAGTTTTATGGTGACTACATGCTATAGGATAAACGCACCAGCACTGTTGAAATTTTTTTGGAAATTTCATGGAAGATATTATTATAATAAATCTCATGAGAGTGACATTGAATCGGATTTAGGGAAAAAATGGTTGAGAAATTTCAAGTATTGAGTAGAATTCACGAAAATTCATGAGTTTTTACTGGGAGTGAGATGATGAAAAATTTTATCATCATATTGTTAAATGAATGACCTTCCATGAAGACTAAATATTTATCAGAAATATTGGGGCGAAAGAAATAAATAAAAGATATAAAAAGGGACAGGATCCGTTCACGAACTAAAAACAACGATAAAGTAATGACGGGATAGAGAGTGGTGATTCAGTTGAGAGGGAGGAAAAGAACAATATTATACTTTCGCTGAAATTCCAAGGAATTTCGTTGAAACTTTCATGGAAAAATTAATGGAAACTGGAAATTTCAGTTCAATTATTCCACGAAAATTAACCCCACACATACGGAGTCGATGCCATGCATCGGCCTATGAAAATATGAATGACTCTCTTTAAAATTAATTATTTCCAAAACTGTAGAATTTAACTCAACCAAGCACAAAACAACGGAAAAACGAATACTGTAGCTTCAATTGCATATCGGTTTCATAATTTTCCGTTGATTAGAAGTCGTTACATTCTCGTTGTATCAAGCGTACTCCACGCTTAGAAACAAAAGGGCTCCGTCCGTGAGGGGTTAATGTAGATCAGGAAAATTTCAATAAATTTAAATTCAGTGTAATTTGGTACTGAATATTGATGTTCTGATGAAAAATTCAAGTATATTGAGAAACTTTCGTCTTTGTGATGCTCAAAAACGTTGAATTTCATTGAATTTTCGTTGAAATGGAAAATTTTACGATCCGACCCTAAAACCAACGAATTTCATGTTGCTCTCCCAAAAATTACAACTCAACTCTCCATGAAATTTCAATTATTTCTCTAACAGTGGATATATCTATCAAAAACTTGTCAACAATACACTTGAAACTGATTCATCATCATCACGTGATTCTCAGTAATAATGATCGATGTGATTTCCTCACTTTAGGTGTTCCTGTTTATTTATTTTCTTCCTCTGTTTACTTTCAGAATGCCTACAGAGGTCAATGGCGCGCTGCCAGTGGTAGCTGGAGACGTCCTCGCACTGAGAGGCACCGGCTTAGCCGCTGCAGAAACCTGGGCTCTACTCTGTCAAGCTGCCCAGGCCCTCCAAGATCTCTTTCTCTCCAGTGAGTGCAAACATTCCATTGTTCAAAAAATATTTGTTACACCCCATCTATCCCCCATCAGCCCTGGATTAATTAATCTTCCTACAATGGGTCGTGCTAAACCCTGTTGCCATTGTTCGTCCCTAAATCGCTTATTTGTTAATTCATTTTTCCTTTGATTAAGAACGACTCATTGTTAAGTAGAGATGAGAGTGAAAAATAGTTGAGTGTATGACTGAAAAGGTAAGATGCTTGCTCATGTAGCTGAATTTCCGGATCATTTCATCGGATAATAGGTATCAAAAATAGACAACTTCCGACAGTTCCAGTTTCCCGAGAAAAAACGATAAAATATATCTCGGATTGCATTCTCCCACAATAATATCTCTCATATTCTCGGTATATCGAAATATCGGGTGTGTTGGATGTGTTTGTTTACGTCTCGTAATTCCCCTGTTGAAATACTGCACCTTTTGAAGTTTCTCGGAAATTGTCAAGGCAAAGAATCAATAGAATTCCCGGGTTCTCCCACTATTCCCTCTTTTCCACTTCGATGAAAATAAAAATAAGTTCAATTTCACACAGGTTATTTTGAAATTCACCGGAAGCTATGAGATTCTCGGAAAAAGTCGAAGCTTTTTTCGTTGCCAATAATATTTTTTCAAGAAAATGTTTTCCAATAAATTTTTCTGAATAGCTTCTCATTCGGAAAAGTATATCCACGGAGAGAAAAATTTTCAAGAAAATCACGGAAAATGGCACTTGAGCTTTCCAGTAATTTTTTCTCACCAATTTTTCCGGTATTCTCTCTTTCGAAAATGTATGCGTAATTATACAGCTTTCACTGCCTCTCTATATTATGAAAATCCAAATTGACTTCTGGTGATGAAAATTTGGTACTCAAAATTAAGATTCAAAAATTGAGGGTCAAAATGGCAGTTACGAGGGTCATGAGAGTCAAAATAAGGGTCACGAGGGTCACAATAAGGATCATGAGGGTCAGAATAAGGGTCCCGAAGGTCAGATTTAGGGTCACAATCAATAGATTAAACGTCATGAGAGTCAGAATAAGGGTTACGAGGGTCAGATTAAGGATCACTAGGGTTAGAATAAGGGTAACAAGAGTCAGATTAAGGGCCCAAATAAGTGTCACAAGGATCAGATCGAGGGTCACATGAATCACAGTACGGATCCAAATAAAGGACATGGGGGTAAAAAATCCAGGGGCATAAACTAAGGGTCACCTTTATTATCAAATTACCCTGAATTCTCAATTATTTGAATATTCAACAAATTATTTTCCTGAAGTTTCCTGATTTTCATTACTCTTCCTGAAATAAGTAGCGAAGCGGTAAAAAGGTTTAGATCGATCTAGCCCTCAGCTGAGTTTTCGAGGAATATCTCCGAATCTAAGGGAAATAAGGAAATTTTCCTCATAACCTTTTTTGTAGATCGAATTGAAGGCTCTAGAAAAATTTATAACACAAATTCTCTCTGCTATATCGCTTAGATTTCGAGGTATTAATTAAAAACGGGTCTAGAGTGAAACTCGAATTCAACGTCAACAATAGCAGAATTGATCTCGAACCTGCAATTTTCATTCATTTTTTGGAATTTCCAATGTCAGAATTCTTCAAAATTGCAGTGAAACTATAATGTGATAGAAATTTCCATGAAGTGTACCAAAAACTTCTGTTGTTCGTGCTACATTTTTTGACACATGTACAAAAGAATCCCCCACAATTCAAAATGCATCGAACACTCGAACGAGAGCAATTTTGACTCCAAGTTGAAAGACAAAAAATGTCATTCGAGTTGACAGTCGATAAATTCCACGCATGTCATCCATTTTCACCGTTTCCCCTTCCGTAATTTTTTTTCTCTCTCCACCATGTAATGTACGGCCAGGAGGACGTGGCATATGTACGTGGGTGGATGATCCTGTCTACAAAAATCCTGCTGATCTTTTTTTTCGCAGCGAACCATCGATGTACTATTTTCCCCAGGATATAACGTAACATATACAGCCATACACGTTTACCCGTCGTTATGTTGGGATTTGATACGTTCCTGAAGCAGCCGAAGTTAAAGCTACCTCAGGTATCGAATGACGAGGGGCTTTTGTGCGGTATGTGATCGATTATTATCCGAGGAGTTTCCCGCGAAATGGATGCCTGTGAGGGGAAAAACCTTTAATGTACGAGCATCAAAGTTTCCTTCTATTCCATTTCTATTTATAGAGAAAGAAAATTGTGTTTCCATCCACCTGACCCAGCGCGAGCACTTCGGCCCACGAAATGATCGATGGATTAACGTTTCAAACATTGATCTGAGGGGCTACTCACTCCCAAAATTACGACGCCACTCTCGCTTGAAATCATTCAGAAATCACTCCGAAATCAAGTGATTTCAGCTCTTCGAAATCATCTGCACGGCGCATTGGCGTAGTGCGAACCGTGCAATTAATTCGTGATTTTAAAATTGACACGCCTGCCAACGACGATAATAAAACGCCGGACTCACTGCCAGACTGGTTTTTCTGAGAATCCCATATTTACTTACTCCCAGACAAATGTCGTACACTGATAGAACGGATTAGTTATTGTTAACGAATGGATTTTGGTTGGAGGTTAGGGTCTATTCGGTCCCACCAAATGTTCATTCGTTAATAGTTAACGAATGTATATTTGAGGAGCCTTGTTTGACTTGACTTTCGCCATTCAAGTGAACCATTCGTTAACTATTAACGAATATTCATTTGGTCATATTCAACTCTACCATTCGTTAATAGTTAACGAATCTCGTTTGGAATAAATGAATCATTCTATCAGCGTATGTGCTTATTATCGCATGGATCCAGAGAGCTCATTCGCTATATTTTCAGATACTTCAGCCCAAGAATCAATAGTTCGCAAATCCTCGATATAGTGGTTGTTTAATAAAGATCATTCAAAACTCAGTAGTGATGTACTTCAGCGAGTTAGGGACGAAGAAATAACGAGAAGTACTAGTCATCGAAATAAGAACCCTTTGCGAAGCGAGAAAAAGTATTTAGTGAAAGAATTTAGTGAAAGAATATCATCGGCATCCCATACACATTCCAAATGAACCCCACCCCATTCGCCCCGAAAAATGTCCAGCAATTTAATCTCAATATTTGGCTATAATTTACTAACAATTTCGGGCTTGCATGGCATCCTTCCCTGGCCCGAGAGAAGTCAAAGGGCGTGATTGAAATCGTGACCGTCGAAAGGCATGTAACCTACGAGAATGTGCACATGACACGACTAGATACTGAAGCGGGAGCGACTATGCCAGTGGCATACAGCCTCTCCCGTTGAGAATCCGAGATTACGTGCATTAATGGCATACGTATGAGTATTGTGGATGGTTTGCCAGTGACACGAAGAGTTAATACCCATGTTCACCCCTCAACTTGAGTATTTCGATATTTCATCATCAAAAACCTCTTGACATTAGCACGTTCCATAACTGTCCGATGCATCACCCTATACTCTATTGAGGCGATCAAGTCTAGAGATGACCCTCATCAGTCAATTTGTCCTTAAAGCCAATTTTCGAGCCATAATTTTTCCGAAATTATTTCCAATCCGGGGGTTAAATATTTGATGGCCCCCGGGGTTTGCCACGAGTCGTCAGTCGTGTTATTCACCGCGGGCCGGTAAATACTCATGTGCGTAATGTCTACACGAAGGGAAAACGTCCAATGTTAGTTGGGTCTAGATGATTGAAGGACTGCAGTAGAGGGTGAGTCCAAGCCCTCCGTCCATGGTTGTAAATAGCCAGAGGGTTACCCAGTAACCCAGCGTACGAGGGAGAAGGTGTAATTCCCACATATGAGGTTTACCCGGTGCTCCCAGAAGGGATATACACATTTCAGGACTCCGAGGCTTTTGACTTCCTGAAGGGAAATGATCCTACCCAAGGAATTCAAATTACTGGTAGCCTGTAGCAACACGCTCGTATCATCGCGCTTACCACGTGTAATCTTCTCTGACAGCTCCCAAAAGTGTCGTCGTTATATCCGCTTTAGGGATTGCTAACATTTCTTTCACGAGAATGAGAATGGAGAGAGGAAGATGAATGGGTTTCGTCTGTCATAATAAAGCGATTTGTAGCGGTACAAATCATGATAAAAACCCATCGTTTGAAGATGGTGTCATTACTGTCTCTGAGGATTTCAACCACCTAGTTCAACGCCCTGTTATATGCTGGTTATTTTCACCCTGCTTTAACAACATTGGATCTGTAAAAATGCTTTGTTGAACATCTTTGAGGGTTTATCATCCGCTGGGGGACATTGTACGACCTAAAGTGAAATGAATGTCAGGGGTTATCCAAAATCAGCAGCAGATAGCCGTAAAAATCGCAGAGAGAGCATCTCAATTAACGCAATTTGTAGATCGCTGATTTCATAAACCCATCACCATTGATGATTGATTTTTTCTCCTTTAACTACCATAACTCGTGTAATTGTGCTGTCGAATTTGCCAGTGACATGAAAAGTTATCAGCCATTCATTCTCTTGACACTACCCTGTCTCATAAATGTCATTGGTTATAAATCATGAAGAAAAACTATCGTTCGAGGATGATCTCATCACTATCTCTGAGGATGTCATCCACCAAGTTCATCGCCTCGTCATCTTTTAACTTTTTTCACCCCACTGTAACGACATTGGACTCGTAGAGATGCCGGTCACTGTCTTGTTGAATATCTTTGAGAGTTTATGATTCGTTTCAGAACATTTTACGATCCAAAGTAAGATGGATGAGTCTGCAATCGTCCAAAAACAGAAGAAAATAGCCAGAAATACAACAGGGAGCTTTGTCATCGGCCCAATTCGCAGATTACTAATCTAAGAATTCATCCTGAAGCACAAGGTTTATCGTTTCTCCTGCAACTAACATAACTCGTTCAATTGTACTCTCGAATTCGCTAGTGACACAAAGAGTTATTCAGCCACTCATCAACTTAACGTCAATCTGTCTCATGAATGT